TTAAAAAAAATTTTTTTCAGTCAACCAAATCTAAGAGACCATTAGAGGCATGGATTTTTTAAAGAATATCTTGTCATTCTTTAAAAATTCTGTTCCACTGTGTCCATTAATTGTTGTGAACAACTCTATTTTACGTTTTTTGTATGGTGTGAATTATGAACAGTAGATTATTGTCAGTTAAAGATAATATGAAAAAAAACAACAGTGAATTAAATAAAAAACGTATTATCAGTTATTATCAAAGTTAAATAAATCGAGAACTACCACCCTACCACAAAAATCATGAAATAGAAATACAGTACATACGGTGTGATTAATAATTTATGACAATCAATGGTCAATATTGTTGTTATAATTTGGAATAGAATAAAGAAACAAATATCTGACATGTGTCAACAGAATGGGGTTTATGTATAAAAATAATAATCACAGGCATAATCATTGATTTATTAAATCCAAATGTCTGTTTTTGAAGATAACTTCGTGATGGTGTAAATGATTTCATTTTTAAGGGTCTTAATGGGATTTGATTATATTTTAATGGAACACATACATAAATGAAATAAAATTGGTATTAGAAGATAATAAATTAAAAAACTTAAAAATATTTGTGATAAAATATATTTTTAGTATACATAATAGTCGCAAAAAACATTTTTTATTAAGTCCACATTTAGATAAATTCCTAAACAATATTTCTATATTCTTTACAACCTTTGTTTCAATCAATAATTTTCGTTTGCCATGTTGGGCGATAACCATTAAATCGGTAGGTAATAATCGGTTTTATGGTATGTAATAAAGTTATCATAGATATGAAGTGATTTGTTTGGAACACTGGAAAAAAATATTGTCCAAACTAATTGATTCAAGTATTGCAGTTGGCGCCCAACGTCAACTACATTTTCTGTCAGAGGAGGTGTGGATATTTTAAATATCCATGTCGGTAGACCAGAAGAGGCGTGGATTATAAAAAAAATTTTTTGGTAGACAAGAAGAAGCGTGTATTTAAAAAAAATATTTTTGGTAGACCAGAAGAGGCGTGGATCTATTTTTTTTTGTGGTAGACAAGAACAAGCGTGGATTTAAAAAATAATATTTTTGGTAGACCAGAAGAGGCGTGGATCTAAATTTTTTTTTTGGTAGACCAGAAGAGGCGTGGATCTAATTTTTTTTTGGTAGACAAGAACAAGCGTGGATTTAAAAAACAATATTTTTGGTAGACCAGAAGAGGCGTGGATCTAAAATTTTTTTTTGGTAGACCAGAAGAGGCGTGGATCTAATTTTTTTTGGTAGGCAAGAACAAGCGTGGATTTAAAAAATAATATTTTTGGTAGACCAGAAGAGGCGTGGATCTAATTTTTTTTGGTAGACAAGAACAAGCGTGGATTTAAAAAACAATATGTTTGGTAGACCAGAAGAGGCGTGGATCTAAAATTTTTTGGTAGACCAGATGAGGCGTGGATCTAAAAAAAAAATTGGTAGACCTTTTTGGCGTGGATATTTTAAAAAATAGAGGTGTGGTGTTTTTTAAAAAAAATATTTTTTCAAGGGACCAATAGTGGCGTGGATTTTTTAAAAAAATATTTCTTTCAAGGACCAAAAGAGGCGTGGATTTTTTAAAAAAATATTTCTTTCAAGGGACCAAAACAGGCGTGGATTTTTTAAAAAAATATTTCTTTCAAGGGACCAAAAGAGGCGTGGATTTTTTAAAAAAAATATTTCTTTCAAGGGACCAAAAGAGACGTGGATTTTTTAAAAAAATATTTCTTTCAAGGGACCAAAAGAGGCGTGGATTTTTTAAAAAAATATTTCTTTCAAGGGACCAAAAGAGGCGTGGATTTTTTAAAAAAATATTTCTTTCAAGGGACCAAAAGAGGCGTGGATTTTTTAAAAAAATATTTCTTTCAAGGACCAAAAGAGGCGTGGATTTTTTAAAAAAATATTTCTTTCAAGGGACCAAAAGAGGCGTGGATTTTTTAAACAATATTTCTTTCAAGGGACCAATAGAGGCGTGGATTTTTTAAACAATATTTTTTCAAGGGACCAATAGAGGCGTGGGTTTTTTAAACAATATTTCTTTCAAGGGACCAATAGAGGCGTGGATTTTTTAAACAATATTTTTTCAAGGGACCAATAGAGGTGTGGGTTTTTTAAACAATATTTTTTCAAGGCACCAACAGAGGCGTGGATTTTTTAAACAATATTTTTAAACAATATTTTTTCAAGGGACCAATAGAGGTGTGGGTTTTTTAAACAATATTTTTTCAAGGCACCAACAGAGGCGTGGATTTTTTAAACAATATTTTTAAACAATATTTTTTCAAGGGACCAACAGAGGCGTGGATTTTTTTTTAAATATTTCTTTCAAGGGACCAACAGAGGCGTGGATTTTTTTTTTTAAATATTTCTTTCAAGGGACCAAAAGATGCGTGGATTTTTTAAAAAATATTTCTTTCAAGGGACCAAAAGAGGCGTGGATTTTTTAAAAAAATATTTCTTTCAAGGGACCAAAAGAGGCGTGGATTTTTTAAAAAAATATTTCTTTCAAGGACCAAAAGAGGCGTGGATTTTTTAAAAAAATATTTCTTTCAAGGGACCAAAAGAGGCGTGGATTTTTTAAACAATATTTCTTTCAAGGGACCAATAGAGGCGTGGATTTTTTAAACAATATTTTTTCAAGGGACCAATAGAGGTGTGGATTTTTTAAACAATATTTTTTCAAGGGACCAATAGAGGTGTGGGTTTTTTAAACAATATTTTTTCAAGGCACCAACAGAGGCGTGGATTTTTTAAACAATATTTTTAAACAATATTTTTTCAAGGGACCAACAGAGGCGTGGATTTTTTTTTAAATATTTCTTTCAAGGGACCAACAGAGGCGTGGATTTTTTTTTTAAATATTTCTTTCAAGGGACCAAAAGATGCGTGGATTTTTTAAAAAATATTTCTTTCAAGGGACCAAAAGAGGCGTGGATTTTTTAAAAAAATATTTCTTTCAAGGGACCAAAAGAGGCGTGGATTTTTTAAAAAAATATTTCTTTCAAGGACCAAAAGAGGCGTGGATTTTTTAAAAAAATATTTCTTTCAAGGGACCAAAAGAGGCGTGGATTTTTTAAACAATATTTCTTTCAAGGGACCAATAGAGGCGTGGATTTTTTAAACAATATTTTTTCAAGGGACCAATAGAGGTGTGGGTTTTTTAAACAATATTTTTTCAAGGGACCAACAGAGGCGTGGATTTTTTTTTAAATATTTCTTTCAAGGGACCAAAAGATGCGTGGATTTTTTAAAAAATATTTCTTTCAAGGGACCAAAAGAGGCGTGGATTTTTTAAACAATATTTCTTTCAAGGGACCAATAGAGGCGTGGATTTTTTAAACAATATTTTTTCAAGGGACCAATAGAGGTGTGGGTTTTTTAAACAATATTTTTTCAAGGGACCAACAGAGGCGTGGATTTTTTTTTAAATATTTCTTTCAAGGGACCAAAAGATGCGTGGATTTTTTAAAAAATATTTCTTTCAAGGGACCAAAAGAGGCGTGGATTTTTTAAACAATATTTTTTCAAGGGACCAATAGAGGCGTGAATTTTTTAAACAATATTGTTTCAAGGGACCAACAGAGGCGTGGGTTTTTTAAACAATATTTTTTCAAGGGACCAACAGAGGTGTGGATTTTTTAAACAATATTTTTTCAAGGGACCAACAGAGGCGTGGATTTTTTTTTAAAAATATTTCTTTCAAGGGACCAACAGAGGCGTGGATTTTTTAAACAATATTTTTTCAAGGGACCAATAGAGGTGTGGGTTTTTTAAACAATATTTTTTCAAGGGACCAACAGAGGCGTGGATTTTTTTTTTTAAATATTTCTTTCAAGGGACCAAAAGATGCGTGGATTTTTTAAAAAATATTTCTTTCAAGGGACCAAAAGAGGCGTGGATTTTTTAAACTATATTTTTTTCAAGGGACCAACAGAGGCGTGGATTTTTTAAAAATATTTTTTCAAGGGACCAATAGAGGTGTGGGTTTTGTAAACAATATTTTTTCAAGGGACCAACAGAGGCGTGGATATTTTTTTTAATATTTCTTTCAAGGGACCAAAAGATGCGTGGATTTTTTAAAAAATATTTCTTTCAAGGGACCAAAAGAGGCGTGGATTTTTTAAACTATATTTTTTCAAGGGACCAATAGAGGCGTGGATTTTTTAAACAATATTTTTTCAAGGGACCAATAGAGGGGTGGGTTTTTTAAACAATATTTTTTCAAGGGACCAACAGAAGCGTGGATTTTTTTTTTAAATATTTCTTTCAAGGGACCAAAAGAGGCGTGGATTTTTTAAACTATATTTTTTCAAGGGACCAATAGAGGCGTGGATTTTTTAAACTATATTTTTTCAAGGGACCAATAGAGGCGTGGATTTTTTTAAAAAAATATTTTTTCAAGGGACCAATAGCGGCGTGGATTTTTTTAAAAAATATTTTTTCAAGAAGCCAATAGAGGCGTGATTTTTTTTAAATATTTTTTCAAGAAGCCAACAGAGGCGTGATTTTTTTTTTAATATTTTTTCAAGGGACCAATAGAGGCGTGAATTTTTTAAAACATATTTTTTCAAGAAGCCAATAGAGGCGTGGATTTTTTTAAAAATATTTTTTCAATGGACCAATAGAAGCGAAGTCAAGAAGAGATGATGAGATTTTGTTTATAGATTCTCCTCCATGTTTAATTTTGTTAGACATTTCCAAAAACTTCTCACCTTTTGGAAACAGTGTAACCACATTTGACCACCACACACACGCCCGTCCGATAAGTAGTAAACGATTATCGAACCGCGAAGGTCTTTAATCTAATCAATCGCATTGAGATTTCCATTGTTGTGTATAGTTTATGACCTGTCCATGCAATTCTACAGAAAGTCTAAAGATAACTTCTTTTCGATTTTCCGTATGGTGTTAACAAAGCCCACTTAGATCAGTTAGTCTGGGGTCTTGAATTCATAAACATGTGTCGGTTGGCAGGTGTTCGCCAATTAGCCATTTGGCTAATCATTTCAGTGATATTGGTACAAAATATTCATGCTCTACCAAGATGCCAGGCGGACGATGAAGAATGTAAAGATCGCAATATGCATCCGGATTTGCCTGAATCTGCTCAGTTGGGTGGAAAACGTGCTGTGACTGGAGAAGATACCAACGATTATTGGCGTAATTTGAGCAAACAACACATTGAGAAGAAATTATCGCAAACCTTCAATCAGAATCGTGCCAAAAATGTGATCATGTTTTTGGGTGATGGTATGGGCCTGACCACGGTGGCTGCAGCTCGCAATCTATTGGGTGGTGAGGAGAAACAATTGTCCTTTAATGACTTCCCTTATACTGGCCTTTCGAAGACTTATTCTGTGGATAAAATTGTACCCGATTCCGCCTGTACTGCTACGGCGTATTTGTGTGGTGTCAAGGCCCAAGAAGGTACCATTGGCGTCAATGGTGATGTGGAATATGGCAGCTGTGAAAAGGGTCAAGATAAGAGCAAATGGGTATATTCCATTGGTAAATGGGCTCAGGATGTTGGCAAAAGTACTGGTGTTGTGACCACCACACGCATTACCCATGCCTCACCTTCGGGTGTTTATGCCCACATTGCCCATCGTGATTGGGAAAATGATCAAGAAGTGAAGGAGGCTTGCGGTGCTGGCAAGGATATCGAGGATATTGCCTATCAGCTAATAAATGGCGAAGTTGGTAGTAAATTGAATTTCGTTATGGGTGGTGGTAAAAAACATTTCATCGATTCGAAACTCTATGACAATGGTCGCCGTGGTGATGGTCTGAATCTCGTGGAACAATATAAAAATCAAGCTGGATCGCGTAATCTCTATGTTGAGACACGTGATGAATTAATGGCGGCCGATTTGAAGAGTTACGATCGTGTATTTGGTCTATACCAAGATGATCATATGTTGTATCATTTGGAAACGAATGAGACCACCAATCAACCGACATTGGAGGAGATGACCCGCAAGGCCATTGAATTTTTATCACAAAATGAACAGGGCTACTTCATTTTCATTGAGGGTGGACGCATCGATTTGGCCCATCATCAGAATTATGCACGTATGGCGTTGGATGAGACTGTGGAATTTTCCAAAGCCATTGCTGCCGCCCGGGAATTGACAAGTGAGGAAGACACCTTGATTGTGGTTACTGCCGATCATTCACATTCATTTTCCTATAATGGATATCCGGTAATCTTAGAATTTTGAATTTTATTAGGAATTAAATTATTAAAGTCATTGCTTTTTCCCCAGCGTCGTGGCAATGATGTCTTCGGCAAGACACCCAACACTCCCGACGACATGATGCCCTATATGACCTTGAGTTATGCCAATGGCCCCAGTTATGAACAGTTCTTTGATGTTGAGAAGGGTGAACGCGTCGATCCCACAACTGTAATAAAGGGAGATCGTTATGATCGTTTCCCCTCCACCTTGCCTCTGGAAGATGAGACCCATGGTGGTGAAGATGTTGGCGTGTATGCTTCGGGTCCATGGTCACATTTGTTTACCGGTGTCTATGAACAAAATGCCATACCACATATGATGGGTTATGCTGCCTGTTTGGGTTCCGGTTTTACTGTATGTAATCCTAAGCTTAAATAGGGTAAGGGAGGTGATCACGAGGATCGTTTTTTCATGAGAAATTTCAATGAAAGAAAAATAGCAATTAAAAACAGTATTAAATAATTGAAAAAAGAATTTTGAAATATTTTTGTTTACTTTTAAAAATTTTTCTAAGAACTAGCAGCGGCCTCTTCTAAGGTTTTCGACTTCAGGATATCCCTATGGGAATTTCTGTTCAGGAAAGAGCTTCTGGAATTATTTTCTGTCTCTAAGGGGCCTTTTTTGTTAAAAAAAATGTCGCTTAGATGTTCTTTCACCAATGCCTTAAGTTAGACCTTCGGTATTGCAAAAGCTTTCCCAAACGCAAGTCTATAGAACTTATAAGAACTAAAAAAAGCTGAAATTATTCAGAATTATTCCGGGGTCAATGTAGAAAAGGTGAAGAGCAGAGATTATAGTGCAGTTTAAGGTCCAGTATTTGCATTCACTGCTATTGCTATGGACGAGCTATAGGTCCGGCAATCTTTATAGAGGCCGTGAAGGTCAAGGAATTTTCATAGACGATTTAAAGGTTTTATATATGAGCTGAAAAACAGTCACTTCCGAATGAAAGATAAATTGATGTAGACAATCGGAATGTCAGAGATTCTTAAAAGTCGACCAAAGAATCGATAGTCTTTATAGATAATATGAAGGTAAGAGAGCATTTGTAGACCATGAGTCTTCAGAGGGATGTCGATCTGAAGGTCAAGGGGTATTTATAAGCTAGCCGATGTCCAAAGTGGGTTTTATATACGCATTTATTGCCAAGGAGTCTTTATAGAAGGAAAGTAAATCATACTTTTAGGCGGGTTGGATGTAGGGTAATTTTTATACAGTAATGTCAGGGTATGTTTACAAAGACCCCGAAGGTCCATTTTTTTATAGACGATAGAAATCTTTATACTTAAACTGAAGGTCTTTACATATTAGGAGTCTTAATAATGATCCGAAGGTGGGCTTAAGTTTAGGGTGTTTTTTATAGGAAACCTGGAGATGAGTGGGTCTTTATATGTGAGGAGCTGAAGGTCACGCGGAGAGCTAACCGACGGACAAATGTTTTTTTTTTTAGAGAAACTGACTGAGGGAGACGGGAGTATATAGAAAAGCTGATGTCGAAGCTGTGTTATAGACAGGTTGAAACTAAAATAATTTTTATACAGAACCTGAATGTCAGGGAATCTTTACAAAGAAACTGAATGTCAGTTTTCCTTTATAGACAATAAAAATCTATATACCTATACTGAAAGTCGTAACAGATGAGGTGAAAGTAAGGAAGTTGTATTAGCTATCCGAAGACCAAGGGATCAAGCTCATTTTATATGCAGGCTAAAGTTCAGAGAGTCTTTATAGGGAATTTGGGGGTCAGTGGGCCTTGTTATGCGAAGATTTGCAGGTCAGTGAATCTTGATAAGCTGAAGTTTAGGTCAGGATGAGCTGAAAGTCAGGTAGCCATTATAGCGATACGGAGGCCAAGGGTTCATGTTGTCTTTAGAGACAATTGCCAAGGGGTTTTTAGACAAAATAACTGACAGGGAGTCTTTATAGAAGCGCTGAAGGTCAAGATGACTTGAAGGTCCCTATACATGGCCAGTATTGGTTTTTATAGACCAGCTGAAGTTTTTATAGAGAAGTTGAAGTTTTTATAGCTATAGGTATGAGACTCAACATTCCTATACCAAAAGATGATTTTCACCATAAGTAAGTGTTTTTGATAAAAATAAGTCCTTTATAAATGACTAAAAGCCAAGTAAATGTCCTATTTTCTAGACAATTAAAATGAAATGTGTTAAAGACAAAAACCCCTAAGAGTTAGGAATTCTTCATAGGGTGTCGGTATTGAGATCAAAATGACAATTAATTGATGGCCATGAACGGAGAATTGACAAAGAGATGTGTAGATAATTTCGGTCGATTCGGTCTTATGTTCAAAATTCTTAAAATCCCTCCAAGCCTTTATATGTGGGCTATTTCAGAACATGCACCCGGAAGGGGGTTTCTCCTTATGAGAAATCCAAGAACCAAATTAAAGAGAGGAAATTGTTGAATAAAAAATGAGTGCAGGATAGGAAAAAGGTGTGGTATCTTTATATTGACAAATACTGACAATTTTCTGCTAGGAAGTTTTTTTTACCCACAAAGAATCCCAAATGTGCCTCCACTTCGTTTGTAAGTCTACGACATTCAAAATACCTGAAATCGGGATGTATCTGAAACATGGAGGTTATGTCAAAACATGAAACTATCACAAACCCGAATTGCGTTTCCACTTCGTTTAGAAAATAAGTCTATGTTGATGATCATACCCAAAATCGGACGGGATTTTAACATGGAGGCTATGTCAAATCATGAAAATATAGAACTTTTTTCCTGTTTTCTACCCACAATTACCCCCGGGATGCCATAATGAGGCCATTTCCCTTGGAAAATGTGACGAGAACCGTCAAAATATGAGAAATTGGTCGGGATATTTATATGGAGATTATGGCAATGAATAAGCATACACTGAAACTTTTCACCAAATATATGTTTGCTCCCTACAATAATAATAGGCCTAAAAGGCCTAAACCCTAAAAGGCCTAAGGATATTGCAAAGATATTTTTTTACTTTCCAGGGAGTAATACCAAAGGCCGATTGTAATATATGTGCTTCCGTTTTAAAAATTTCTCTTAAATAATTATTGTTTTTTTTACGAAGCCAACCCTCCTCTCCTCCACATATGACCAATGGTAATTTGTTCTACATCATTTTTTCGAGAAACAATTAAAAACTCGATTAACATTTGATGTACAAATTTTGTAATTTAACACAGACGTATTAAAAAAATTTGCATTTTTTTAATCATCTAATGGCGCCCAACACTAAACGTCATACAACTACAGAAGCAACAACAACAACCTGTGTGTTCAATTAAAATGACCTACATCAAAAAAATATGAAGTTATCAAAAAATTTTACACAATTTATAATAGACTTCCTTATGTTGTGCTGTGTTAATCAAATTTTCTGCTTATCGGGCAGCTACATCAAAATGAATTTCCTACTCCTACTGGTTGCATGTTAAAAATCAACAACAAACAGCAGCAGCAACAACGACAACAACATGTAAATGGCTAAAAAAAGTTTCTGTAAAAATACAACAACAACAGCAAACAAACAAATTTAATAAATTTACCTAAGAGGAAATTTTATAATTAAATATAAAAATTCAAAAACACACACACATTCACACACTTAAAAAAACGAAAACGCCTTGTCCATTAACGTTTTGCCAACTGCTAAAAAAAATAAAATTACTAACACATAGACATATGTACCTGTTAGCCTACATATAATATAATATATTTGTGTGTATGTATAACTGACCAATGGCCTATATCGACTAAAAATATTAAAAAGCGTTGGCGTGTTCAGCAGTAGAAAAAAAATAATTCCAGAGAGAAAAAGTCCTTTACCATAGATGTATACAAGGCAGTATTTTTATACCCTTCACCACAGTGAGGTACAGGGTATTATGTCTTTGTGCATATGTTTGTAACAGACAAAAATAATCGAGATAGACCCATGGTTCCTTTTGAGAATATGCATAGAATCACTTTCTGAGTCGATTTATGCATGTCCGTCTGTCCGTCCGTCCATGTATTTTTGTTAACAAATTACAGGTCGCATTTATGATCCGATTTGGATGAAATTTGGCACAGGTCACTTAATTGGCCCAAGGACGAACTCTATTGAAAATGGGAAAAATTGGTTCAGATTTAGATATAGCTCCCATATATATCTTCGTCCGATTTAAGGTAAATGGTGTACCAAAGTCCCTATATATATTTCGATTTGCACGAAATTTGGCGTAGAGTACTGAATTAGGTCCGGAATGATGTGTGCCAAGTTTCGAGAAAATCAGTTCAGATTTAGATATAGCTCCCATATATAGTTTCTTCCGATTTAAGGTAAATGGTACACCAAAGTCCCTATATTTCTTTCGATTTGCACGAAATTTGGCACAGAGTACTGAATTAGGTCCAAAATAGTGTGTGCTAAGTTTCGAGAAAATCGGTTCAGATTTAGATATAGCTCCCATACATAGTGTCGTCCGATTTAAGGTAAATGGTGCACCAAAGTCCCTATATATCTTTCGATTTGCACGAAATTTGGCATAGAGAACTGAATTAGGTCAAGAATGATGTGTGCCAAGTTTCGAGAAAATCAGTTCAGATTTAGATATAGCTCCCATATATAGTTTCGTCCTATTTAAGGTAAATGGTGCACCAAAGTCCCTATATTTCTTTCGATTTGCACGAAATTTGGCACAGAGTACTGAATTAGGTCCAAAATAGTGTGTGCTAAGTTTCGAGAAAATCGGTTCAGATTTAGATATAGCTCCCATACATAGTGTCGTCCGATTTAAGGTAAATGGTGCACCAAAGTCCCTATATATCTTTCGATTTGCACGAAATTTGGCATAGAGAACTGAATTAGGTCAAGAATGATGCGTGCTAAGTTTCGTGAAAATCGGTTCAGATGTAGATATAGCTTCAATATATATTTTCGACTGATTTAATTTAATTGTGTACTAAAGACCCAAAGATTGGCCGATCGGCACACAATTTTGTACAATGTACTGTTAGTATAACCTTTCGTGTGTCAAGTTTTCTTGAAATTGGTTCAGATTGACATATACCTTCTATATATATTTTCGTCCGATTTTAACTAAATGATACACTAAAGGCCCATACAGACCCATACACGTACAGAATTTAATAAAAATTAATATGTAGCAAGTTTCCTTGAAATAGATTCAGATTAGCTTCCATACATAATTTTGACCTATTCATGTTGACTGTACACCAAATAATCGCCTTAGAAAAGGCTACGTCTGTTAGGATACATATGTAGAATATCCCCAAAGTGGTGAAGGGTATCATATAGTCGGCCCAGTCGACTTTAGTACTTCCCTAACTGGTTATGCATGTATGTGTGTTTTAGAAAAAAAAAAATA